TGTTTCCAACTCCTTGCTATTGTGAACAAAGCTGTAATAAACATGGGTGTGCATATATCTGCTTGGATGTCAGTGAAGCCTTGTTTTTTGCCAATTCTTTCAGAGCAACTTGAACTTCCTTCTTCATCACCACAGTCTCTTGCTCATATGTTATTTCATGAAATTCTTCTGTGTCAGCCAATTCCTTCTGATACAGTGACTCCGTGTACTCCTTCTGTCTTCTTTTAATTCTTCTTGGATCAGACCAGGTGCTGATTGTGGGACAGACTACCAACTACTCATATGCAAGTTCAAGCTGAAGTTGATGAAATTAAACCAAATCCACAGGAGCCAAAATATGACTTTGATTTCATCCTACCTGAATTTCAGAATCATCTCGAACAGGTTTGAGGCCTTGAGCACCAATCATTGTAAACTAAATGAGCTCTGGGAGGATATCAAGAAAATCATCCATGTAGAATGTGAAAGATCATTACAAAGGCTAAAGAAGAAGAAAGATCAAGATGGTTGTCAGATGAGACTCTGAATATTGCATTGGTGCTCCAAGAAGCCAAAGCTAAAGGAAGAAATCAAAGCGCTGAACAGAAGATTTCAAAAGGCAGCTGGGGACGACAAAACAAGATACTATAATGAAATGTGCACAGAGCTGGAGTCAGAAAATCAAAAGGGCCGAATTCACTCAGCATTTCTTAAGCTGAAGGAGTTGAAAAACAAATTCAAGCCACGGGTTGCAATACTTAATTATTAGGGGCAGGTGAAGATTACATCTGTGGAAACTTTGTGGGGCCATTCTACCTTGATTCTGACCTCTGTGAGTCAGAATCACCCAGTAGGCAATGGGTTTAATGAGTATATGACACAAAGTTCAATTGTTAGACTTGAGCAGAACAGGTATAAGATACAATGTCTAATCATTCTGGGCATAAATTTGCCAGAACCTGTCAGTATCTTAATGATATAAAAAACAGAGGGCAATGCAGCAGCACAGATAAATCTTATAAATATTATGTTGAGCTGAAGCCAGACACAGAAACGTGTACATAGTGTACAAAGTTAAAAAACTGGTACAACTAAACCATTGTGTATAAGGATACATATTTAGATGGTAAAACCCAAAAAAGGATAAACTTGGAAGATGTGTTTTGTTGAGGAAGGAAGGATGGATGTGTGGTTGGAAAGGGGAAAGTAAGGACATACACTTGACAACTGGACTGATAAACAACATCATGATAAATTAAGAAATGGAAGCCCTTCCATTCTAATTGGGTCAATAATCAAGAAATCAAATGACCTTTTAATTGGACAGATCTGCTGTAAAGACTTCTTTAAGGTTCTGAAAAGCACTTTGATAACTAAGGGGCACCTGACCTAAAAAGAAGACAGAATAATTGGTGTGTTTGAATTGTGCTGTTGGCAAAGAAGGTTTTTAATATACCTTGAATTTCAGAACAACAAAAACAGATCAGTCTTGGGAAAAATAGAATGGGTAGAAGCAATTCTTTCAAGACTTTGGCTCACTAACTTTGGACACGTCAGGAAAGAGCAATCCCTAGAAAAGGGCATGGTGTTTGGTAAAGTTAAAGGTTAGTAAAAGTGAGGGAAGCCTTCACTGAGACAAACTGACATAGTCACCCCAGCAATGGACTCCAACATCCCAAGGATCATGAAGATGGCTTTGTTGTTGTTGTTATGTGCCATCAAGTCACCTGCAACTCATAGCAATCCTGTGTCCAACAGCCCTAAATTCTGTTTGTCGTGTGCCAATCTTATTGTCTCTGACACACCTACTTCTCCATGACCCCAGTCACTGAATCAATCCATCTCATCAAGGGTCTTCCTCTCCTGCACTGTCCCTTCACTCTCCCAAGCATAATGTCCCTCTACAAGGACTTGTCCTGCCTAGTAACATGTCCAAAGTATGTCAGACAAAGCTTCAAAATCCTTGCCTCCAAGGAGTACCCTGGTCTTACCCTCTCTAGGATGAACCTGTTTGTTCTTCTAGCAGTCCATGGTATATTCAGTACTGAAGATGACATAGGACTGGACAAAATTTTGTTCTGTTGTACATAAAGTCATCACGAGTTGTAGCCAACTCATCACCAGCAAGCAGGGTTGGGATGCTGTGGGGTGGGTGCTGGCAAATATTGTGTTACATGTTGAACTGCTTACAGAAAGTTCCAAGGCTCATACTCACTGACCAGCCACTTGACAGGAGAAAGATGGGCCCTCCCCTCCTATAAAGCTTTGCACCATTGGATACCCATCCAGTGGAAGGTTGACATGAGCTGGGATCACCTCAATTTGCAGAGGGTTGGGAGGGGTTGTTGTTGTTGTTGTTGTTGTTTACCTGCATAGTGGTTACATGAAAATCAATTTTAAACTCTTTTGGAAAACTGTTTACTGATGCGTGAGCAACGATGGTGAGACTTCGTTTTTCATGCTTTGAACATGTTATCAGGAGGAACCAGTCCCTGGGAAAGACTTTTGACATATTGACTGCAGCAGGGGCTTAGGAGCAGCAGAGATTATGAGGATGGCACAAGATTGGGCAGGACTTCCCTCTGTTAAACACAGGATCACTGTGAGTTGCAGCTAACTCAGTGGCATGGAAGAGCGTGCATTCTTCTGTACATATACTATATTTCATCATGAGGAAGGTGAAAAATAATTAGTAAAGAAAGTACAGAACTGCCAAAAGGGATTCTATTCCAACTAAAACCAGTTAGCACAGAGGGATAGAGGAGGTCTGGGCTCCCAGGGAGGGTTGGCACTGGATTGGTGGGATATGAACTGTTCTTTTTCAGAGACTTGGCCTTTAAATAATCTTTGTCATTCTGTATCTGAACATGCATGCTAAGTCTTCTAAATCTTCCTTTTTTTTTTCTTCTTAGCTTGAGATGGACAATCAGCACCTGAGAGGCTGTAATCAGCGCCTGGTAGAGCAGGTGGGAGCCCTTCAAGCCACACTAGAAGGTAGGCAGGCAGTTGTAGGTTTTATTGTGGGGTGTGCAGTATGTATGTTAAAGAACTCTCTGACCTCTTATCTGTCTACTTTTGCCCAAACCATAGCTCTTCAGATGCCATCCTCAGAGAAGTTGCCTGTGATGCCCCAGGAAACCCCAGAACAGGATCTTGTTATGTCGGGGCCTCGAATCCAGCCAATGGGGCAGGACAGTGGTCCAGAGACTGAGAGTTCCCTGAAGATAGAAGTGCCTACACCTCCTCCAGGTGCCTTGAAGACCAAGGAATCTGTTCCTGAAGCTGGAAGCTCCTTGGAGGCCTCTGGTTCCAGCCTGGTCTACTCTGGGTACAGAGCAGAGACCAGGACTCCTCAAGCCTATATGAGAAGAGAGGGTTCTTCTGGCCAGCTGCACATGAAGCTTTGTAGGCCAAGATTTGGTTCTGGTTCCTGGAGTGAGGGTCTGGCTAGTGCTCAGGAAGGGATGTTCTCTGGGACAAAGATCTCCACCAGGGAAAGTGGCCCGGGTGGCAGCCTGACCCTTCCAAAGGCACGGGCACCTGGCACCCCACGAGGCAGCGTCCAGCTGGCCAAACGGTACCACAGCCAGCCTCAGGTGGGCCCTGGGCATTTGAACCACCAGGTCAGCACTGAGATTGGGGCCCTCACGGCCCACCACCCCTCTGGCCACCTCAAGGTGAAGAAGACTGGAGTCGACCTCCGGGAGGAACTGGAGAAAATGGAGATGGAAGAGCCACCCACAGCAGGGAAGAAGGATGGACGGGAAAGCCTGAAGATCTCCAGGGCTGACCTGGAGGAGGTGGAGCTGGGGAACAAACCACCCACGCCGCCCCTGCACCGGTTTCCATCCTGGGTAAGAGGCGCTATTGGGGCTGGGCCAAGCTTGTAATGTGGACAATGTTCAGAGTGTGTCCAAGAGCTGAGGTACCGTGAGGCTGCCATTCTCGCATGGCTCTGGGAAGCCAGGTCCACAGAGCCCACCCAGACCACATGCCTCATGAGAGGCAGAGCCAGGGTTCGAAATGACGTGCTCAGGGGCCGGTTCCTGTTTCTTGAGCACTCCTCGTGTGCTGCACACCAAGCTGGGTGCTTCCCACTCATTTTTTTGTGATTCATCCCAGTGCACAGTTTGGTAATTAAGAACATAGGTCCCAGCACCAGACAGCTAGGGTTAAATTGCCAGCTGTGATCCTGGGCAAGTTACTTTACCTTTGCGTCTCAGTTTCCCTTGAAAGGGGATATCCATAGAAAGATGGATCATAGCATCTTCACTGCAGGGTGGTTGTAAGAATTAAATATGTTGATAGTAAAGTACTTAGAATAGTGCTGGTCTGCAGTAAGTGGTATATAACTGTGGGCTGGTTTGATAATGTCTGAGCCTCGGTCCCATTACCTTATTATAACACAAGATAGAGCTGGATAGAATCTCAGGGATAGGATAGAGTATACCTGCACCAAGGTGTTCATAAATGACTTGATAGAAGCCAGGTCATGGTCACTTCAGATAGTTCTCTGTACTGTTCTCTTTACTTTGGTGTCTGACATTTTCCAGGGATAAAAATTTAAAATGAAAACTGGGGGCATAACAACATTTCACAGGTCACTGATAAGGGTAAGATGAGATAAGGGGCATCAAGTACTTAGCACAGCCTGGTATATAAGAAGGACTCAGTGCTTGGATGATGAGCTAAGTAGCACCTACGCAACCTACCAGCGAGACAGATTGACACAGTGGCTGCGTAAATGTGACCAGGTATATCAGAGGTGACAGGGGTGGCACAAGACAGGACAGGGTGCAGATAAGTTGGTCATAGGATCTCTATGAGTCGTACTCAACTCAGCAGCACTTAACAACCACTCACCTTTCTCAACTGGGCCCTCGGACCCAGGAATCAGAAAAACCACTTTGAGGAAAATTTGCCTCATCCTCTTTGCAATCCTCTTGGTAACCTGTGCCTTAGAAAAATGAGGTACAGTGTTCCTTCTGTCTGAGGCCTCTGGGCTGGATAACCTTGTTGAAGGGAGAACTTAAGAAATCACAGTGACCAGAAAGCCCTCTTTGAGAAACCAATTGGGCATGAACCATGTTGGGGACAAGGTGAGTGACGAGTGACAGAAGGGTGTTTCTCAGTCTGAACAGAGTCAGATCTATTGTAGCTACATGCCCATTAACTACTTAAAGACCCCTGTATCCACTCAAATCAATCTTGTTTTTCTGAGTTAAACACTGGGAAGAAAACTCACTGCTTTTGAGCGAGAACCAACTCACAGCTGGCCCTGTTGTGGGTTTTCAGAAGCTGTGGATTGCAGGGGAGGGGACTGCACTTCTTTTTCCCTCAGAACCCCTGGTGTATTTCAACCACTTGCCTTTGGGTTGGCAGCACAATGCCTTCCTCACTTGTACTATGGTTAGGTGCTGTCAAACCACTGTGATTCTTAGGGACGTTATGATCAACAGATCTGAACCCTGCCCTCGTCTGTGCCACCTGGAGCCCCCTGGTATTCTTCCACCCAGCTCCTGTGACTCACTGCAATCACCTGAGCATGTCTCTGCAAGGCTCGAGCCCATTGTTCCAGTCACTGTGTCAGTCCATCTCATTGAGGGTCTTCCTCTCTCTGACCCTCCACTTTCTCTAGTATGATGTCTTTTTCCCAGGACTGGCCCCTCTTGTCTGAGATGAAGTTCCACCAGTACGGCCTCTGAGGAGCAATCTGGTTGCACTTCCTCCGAGTTTGTTCTTTCAGCAGTCCATGGTATATTTAATACTCTTCACTAACACCTCACTTCAAAGAAACCATTTCCTCTTCTGTCGTCTTTATGCATTGCCCAACTTTCAGATGCATAAGAGGCAAATGAAAATACCTTGGCTTGGATCAGGCACACCTTAGCCTTTAAACTGACATCCTTGCTCTTTAGCACCTCAAAGAGGTCTTTGACAGCAGATTTTCCCCATGGTCTTTTGATTTCTTGACTGCCTCTACCATAAGTATTGATTGTGGATCCAGCTAAAATGAATTTGTTGGCAACGTCAATCTTTTCTCCACCTATCATGCCTTTTGGTGCAGCAGTGAGGATTTTGGGTGTGCTTTTTTTTTTTAATGTTGAAATGTAACTAATACTGGAGCTGTAGCCTTTGATCTTCTGTTGTGTACCATCAAGTAGGAACCATCCCATAGCTGAAAACAGGGTTTTCAAAGCCAGTTTATTGCATGGGAGGACATTGTCCATCCTTCTTCTGCGGAGCAGCTGGCAGAGTAGCTTCTTGTCACTAGGCTACCAGAGCTCCCATCTGCTCTTTTGCAGCAAGTGCTAGCCACCAGATAAGATTTTTTTTTTTGTCTAACAGTCCTAAGTATGGTAGAACCTAAATTTCTCTGGCTTCAAGTTCAATGCCTCTGGATAGTTAGAATCTTGTCCTTGGTTTCAATTCCATAGTGCCCCTCACAGGAATCATCTGTTTGGGGGGGGGGGGACCTTGTGGGTTTTTTTGGCAGATCTTACAATGTGGACCCAGTTTGTCCTGTGTAAACATACCTTGAAACACAACCTGATGGCCACAGGAATTCAACCACCCCAGCCTCCACTTTAGGGCCCCTCCTTGAATTCCCTTCCTCCTGCCTTCCATCTCTATCTCCCCACCCCTTTTTATCTTAGAATCTCATCCTCCCCTAATTTCCCCTTACTGCTGTTCTGCTTTGGGGCCTCAGTGCCTCTGCCACTTCCCCTCAAGCCAGACTTGCCCCACCTGCCTTGGCCCCACCAAGGTGCCCAGCCACCTCCTGGAGCTGGCCTGGCATTCCTCCGTAGTCAGCAGACCTAGTGACTCACTGCAGTCACATGAGCAGACATGGATAGACCTTTGTTTTCCCAGAAAGAGATATGGGAAAAATTTAGTAGGACCTAGTGAGTTGTGTGGTCAGGGACTGCAGTCTTCAATATGGATTGAGGTTCAACATAAAAAAACCCAGATTCTCACCGCTGGACTGATTGGCAGCATCAAGATGGATGGAGAGGAGATTGAGATTGTTAACACTTTCAGCTTGCTCAGCTCCACAATCAACACTCTTGGCACCAACAGTCAGAAAATGAAAAGGTGAATTGCATTCGGAAAATCTACTGTCAGGGACCTCTCCAGAGTGCTAAAGAGCAATGATGTCTATCTAGAGACTAAGGTGCGCCTGCTCCAGGCCATGGTTTTTGCAGTTCATTGCTATGCATCAGAGAGCTGGTCAGTGACTAAAGATGACAGAAGGATTGATGTCTTTGAGTGTGGTGCTGGAGAAGAGTGGGCTGTCAAGAGAACAAACAGGTTTGTCCTTGAGAAGGTGAAACTGAGTTGCTTCTTAGGGGCAAGGATTTTAAAGTTCCATCTTACATACTTTGTGCATGTTGTCACAAGGGACCAGTCCTCAGAGAAGGACATCATGGTTGGAAGGATGGAGACACTGTACAAAAGAGGAAGACCCTGGAGGATATGGACTGACACAGTATCTAGGGTAATGGGTTTAGGTGAGTCGGAGACAGTGAGACTGGCTCAGGATAGGTCAGTGCTCAGAGCCATCATGCATAGTGTCGCTATGAGTCGACTCGACAGCATGTAACAACAACAACAACAGTGAGTTGTATTTTGGGAGCTCTGGTGGCTTAGTGGAAAGAAGCTGCCCTGCAATCCCGAAGATGTGTGGTTTGAATACACCAGATCCTCCTGTGCCGGTCAGATCTGATTTGACAGTACACAACAACAGTGAGTTGTAGGAGTGTAATTGAAACTATTAGAAGTTTCTGGGTCTGTGGGCCTTCATCAAACCCAGGGCCACCTTAGGGTGATGGAGAGTTGAGGATAGGCACACTCCCTTTAGAAGTACTGTCCACTTAAGGGAATGGAAGAGTTAACCTTGAGGCCTAATCCTAGTGTTATATTCATTAGGGTAGGAAAAATGCCCTAGGTTCTAAATAACTGATTTACAAACTCCATGTCCTTGCCACATGGCACTGACTTTCTCATTATCAACAATGTCAGTGACTAGGAGAGAGAACCTAAAATCCAAGAGCCTCTAATAACTAAACTCTCTCATTACAATTGGGTTGAAACCTACTCTTGGTAGACCCTCTCTATTAAGTTTCTGAAGCTATAAACTGGAAGAGATTGCCCACCTTTCTCCTAAGGAGCTGCTGGTGGACTTGAACAGCCCAAGGTATTGGCTTTGAGTTAGTAATGTAACTCTTTATGAACTAGGCCACCAGAGCTCAGGCTTGATCTTTTCTCCTTGCCAGGACTATACAAGCACTTTGTCTCAAAGGATAGGTGGAAGCAAGAAAGGAAATTTGTAAGGCGCTGGTTATATTCTAGTTGTTTAGTGTTTGCATCAATAATTTCATTTAGTTCTCACATCAGCTTTGAAATGTAAGCCTTATAATTATTACTGGAATGGCCCGTAGACTCCAACTACTGACATTTGGGTTGGCAATCTGATGTGTTATATATAAAGTGTGGTTGTTAGCTACCTTATGAACAATAGACATGAACCGGGCCTTATCCTTGCACCACCCTCATTATCTGATCTGCTCCCGCCCATTGTGGTAACTACTGTGCCAATCCATCTCTTTGAGGGTCTTCTCTTTTGTCCACCTTTCCCACCATAATGTCCTTTTCCAGGGACAAGTTCCTTCAAACAGTATGCCCAAAGTATATGAAATGAAGTTTCACCATCCTTGCCTCTAAAGGGTACACTCGTAGCACCATCTCCAAGACAGATTTGTGTGTTCTTTTGGCAAGTCAGAATTACTCTTCTCCAGCACCATAATTCAAAGGCATTGATTCCTTTTTGATCTTTTGTATTCATCGCTCAACT